CTAGTACCTTATACTAGTAGTTATTTATTACTAGATACATGGAGAGAAACTATATCTTATTATTCTATTTTCAGTTTTATTAATTTCTCTAGATAGTTAACATAAAACATTGCACTTGATTCTTTAATTAAATTTTTATAAAATTAGATTAATTTTTAATTATTGTATACAAATAAGATATACTATCAGAAAACATTTTCTTCATCTGATTCAAATAGTTTTATGAATATGTATGGTTGTGAAATAGGGCTTTAGCTGCACAGCCCTTGAACTTCATGCAAGCCTACATCAAGTACAGATAATATAATGCTTAGAATTGTTAATGCAGTGTAAAATACTGAAGTTGCCTTACCTATTCCCTTTTTTTCCAACACTATAAAAGTTACTTTGTTAGAAAATCTTAGTGTTATCAACACCTTTAGACAAACTGAAATATTTAATCAACATTAATTTATTTTATACATTTTTTTAAATTTATATGTACAACGAATGATCATTGTCCAAAAACTTTCTTAGAATTTATAAATAAGTTTAAGTAACTAATAATTTCAACATGATGACCAGCTTATGTGCACATGGGTTACAGAGTTTGAATACAGCTGTTGCCAATTTTGAACTATAGACCAGAGAGAAAGCAGCCAACCAGTAGCACCCATTGCCACAGGGGGCTTTGTCTGGTTCTTTTGAAAAAATAACTGAATCAGTATGTTCATTGATATAATTTTTCAAACTCTGAACCCTTCAATTTAAAACTTGAAAAGATAGCCACCAGACGATGCTCTCCCTCCACCAAAGAATTTGTGTGTTATCTTATTAATAACACAATGACAAACATGTTTATGGGATTTTAAAAAAGAAACTCTTATGAAAATATGTTCTACAATTCTCTTTCTTATCCTCTAACAAAAAAGTTTATTCAAGTTCATAGTAGTCTACAGGCAAATGCCAAAAATCTCATACTAATGAGCAATAAAATCCAAAATTTTATTTTCTCACTGACCTAAATCACACGAGTTCCCTGTATATCCTGGAGGGCAAATGCAACTTCCATTTAAACAAGTTCCTCCATTCAGACAATCAGGTAGGCATTGAATTTCTGAAGAAAAAAATATATTTGTGTATTATTATAATTAATAAAAAAGAATGTTTCTTAAGTTACTATAACATACTACCTTTGTTGTAATAAAATTTTTTAACTTTCATTAATAACATTATATATTGTAGTTAATAGCATGAATTGTGATCCAGGGTGCATGACTTACAGTGAAAGAGGCCCAATTCTACAAGCTTCTGTCTGTAAGTTTTGTCATTTTTCAAATTCTTAGATGGAGTACAGTAGTAGACAACATGACTACAGGTAGCTTTAACCAGTCATGGTTGTAAACATCGTTTACTTCATATATCATAGGTTTATACATTAAATATATATATATATATACACACACAAACATATATTTAACATTGTATATTTATTTGTTCATGTATTTTCTCTGCATATCACCTTATACAGCACAATTTTCAGGTAACAGAAAGTTTGTTTGGTAAATATCATCAAAATTAGCTTGCACCATTAAAATGGATACATGTGATCTGTGCTGATGACAATAAAAAACATGTTTGTTTATTTTTGAATGGTAATATTCTTATGTTTGTGGTTTTCACTGAAAGAAATGAAGGTTGCTGTTCAAGCTACATCACACCAAAGGAGAAACATGGTGTACCCAATGTTTTCATTGATGGTAATGAAAGACCATATTCAACTATAGTAGTGTGCAAGTTTATTAGAATACCTCAACACCTGTCATTTTATAAGTTTTACACACAAAAGACTCAGTGATTCTTTATAGAAACTACTTTATAATTAGTGCAAATTAATCCGAGTAGTATACTGTTGCTAGTGGTAGGGGAAATGGGGATTTAAGTTTTATGTACAGAAATACTGAATGCAAGTCAAAAGGGGTTATAATATCATTGTATAGGTACTGATTAGGCCACATTTGGAGTATTGTGTTCAGTCTTGAGCTCCTTATACTAGGAAGGACATTGAATTGTTGGAAAGGATTCAGAGATGAGCTACTAGAATGGTGCTTGGGATGGAGGGTTTGCAATACAAGGTGAGGTTAAGATCTCTGAAATTGTTTTCTCTTGGAAAAAGAAGAGTTAGAGGGGATATGATTGAGATGTTTAAGATTGTTAAGGAAATTGATAGTGTTGATGCATTATCTTTATTCATACTTAATGGTGAGAATGGTAAAAATAAGAGACACAAATATAAATTTTGGCAGGGTAGAAGACATCTTCAGCTAAGACAGTTTTATTTTTCTAACAGGTTGGATGGCCTTTGGAATGGGTTGCCTTCAAATGTTGTGAAGGCAGTAAATTTAAGTGAAATTAAGAGAAAGCTTGATAACAATATGAATGATAAGGGCTGGCTTTGAGGTTTTTTATATTTTTTTATTTAATAGTTTTAGTTTATGCTATGTTATCTACATAAGCAGTAACCTTTCCAAAGAATGTCAAAAGATTTGTATAGCAAGATTTTCCCTTAATGAGACCATGTTGTCTGTCCAATAAAATCCTAAACTTTGTTAACTGTCTTCACAAAGCATCTTTTATTAGACTTTTCTCACAACTGATATAAGAATAATATGCCTATAAAAACTGGGGCAACTTTTTTTACCCCCTCCCCCCTGAAATGAGGAGTAACATTAGCCAACTTCCAATCCTCTGGGAACTGCCCACTATTCAAGGACTTACAAAAAATATTAGCAAGTGGCTCACATATCCAATCCTTAACTTCCTTCAAAACCCTTGGGGGAATATTATCTGGTCCCAAAACCTTATCATTCTTTAAGCTTCCCAATTATTTTAAAAATCTCAGAGCTAATATGATCATCTTATTTACTTTGCCATCTGTAGTTTTGTGTTTTTGCTTTCTGAAATTCTCCTCCTGTTAAGTCCTATTCTCTGGTTTTAACTTACTTGTGATCTCCTTTTTTTTAAACTAGGTTTTCCATGATAATTCTCACACACGAGCTGGGAGGAGAGAAATAATTTTTCTGACCACCCCCAGTGTATTTTGATCCTGAACTTTTCTTGCGTTTAGAGTCAAATGATTTAAACCAAAATTACTATCAAGGTAAAGTAATGTAAAAAAAAGATCTTGTTTCCATCTATCGACTGTTCAGGATGATGAACATTGTTTAAATCTTCATTAGTAAAAACTGAAGAAAAAGTAGAATTTAATAACCAAGCCATCTCATAATCATCAGACACGAGCCTTCCTTTATCATCCCTCAAAGGCCCTACTCCCATCCTAACATTTTCTTTACCCTTAATGTATTATTAAAAATCCTTACTACTACCTTTTACATTTTAAGCCAACTTTTTTTTCAAACATCCTTTCTGTTTTCCTAATTTTCTGTTTGACCTGGTCTCCACATGCAGCAAAACATCAAACCCAATACAACAATGATCACTTGCACTCAGATTATCTTCAATTTTCACCCTTTAAACCATTTCCACATTAGAAGTTAACAACAGATCTAAAATAGCACTGTTCCTAGTAGGTTCCTTGCCCAATTGGTAATGAAAACCATCTTGAACAGTTTCAAAAACTTTCTCCCTCATGGTTTGACACTAACACATCCCAATCTATATGCCTGAAATTAAAATCACCCATAATTATGACTTCATTAACAGCTGAAATCTTAATCTCACTATAAAGTTTCTCATTAATTTTATTATTATCATCTGATGGTCTATAACAATTAAGCCTACCCTTACAACTACTTCTATACTTTGTTCCTATGATAAACTTTTCTCTACATCTTATTTTTTGTGCATTTAGTTTATCTTGGCCCTCACCTCTGACTAGTCCTAGTTTAAAATTTCCCTTACAGCTGAGTTGATAGCCCTTGCAATCAAGCCAGCTCCTATTCTATTTAAATGTAAACCATCCATTCCAAAAAGCTCCTTTCTCCCATTGAACTGATCACACAAGTCCAACTAGCCAATACGTTCATCCTACATATTAACCTAAGCCTATAATTCAACCCTAGTGACTTATAATTTTATCACAATTAATTCTCGATAGCATCCCTGACACAATTAAGTTATGGCCCTTTTCTTTAAATGGCTTTATCAACCCCTGTACTTATCAATTAGCTCCTCTGAACTACCTTTTCCTACATCATTAGTTTGTACTGCACAACAAAGACTGCATTATTGCTAGCCAATTTTATTATATATCTTGTTCTGTCAGTTATATTCTCCAGCTGTGCCCCTGGATAGCATAATCTAATTACTTTCCCTCTATATACCCCACAGACTATCATATCCACATGCCTTGTCAAAGAAACACCAATAACTATAAAATCCTTAAGTTCACCATTCACATCCTTCTCTCCAATAGTTCCTAATCTGTACAATTTAAAGGTTGAAATCTGTTGCTCAACAGAACATGCTCATTACAATTAGATCCTCTACTTTTAGCCCTAATAGTATTGTTTGTAACTTCTGAAAGTCATTGTTAGCTAATGTATTTCTTGCTTGTAAAAGCATAAGTTATTCTTGAAATCTTGCTGCCATTTCCCACAGTTTACTTTTCTCTTTATCTATTGCCTCTACTCTATCCTCTAGGATAGCTTCCAATTTCTCCTCCAACCATCAAGTTCTACAAACAAGTTGCATATCTTCACTGCTAGCTTCCTTAAAAGTAGTTCCCAAATAAGACAAGGATACATGTTACTTCACAAAAGCTAGTTTCTTTGCTATTTTCTTGTATAATAAGAACTTTCTTGCTCCTACTCTTCCACAAAGACTACATTTCTGTAGTGTTCTTGAGATTGTATTCTTGATACTTTATATGGGTGACTTATTAATATCATCAGAAAGGTTTTTCACAATTTTCCTTCAGTTGTTCAGGGAATTGATTTTAACATCTCATCCAGTGAGTTTTTTCTGCATCCCCTGCTTTATGTAATGTTATAGGCCTTGACTTCTTTGCAACTGTCCAATGTGTGCTTCACAGTACTTCAAGAACAGCTGAGGTATTTTGCAAATTTTCTAAAACTCCAACCAGCATCATATAAATATTTGACATTGACCATGTTAAAGAGTGTTAATTCTCTCTGTGTTTGGCATTTTAATGGCAACATTATACTATATCAAATGTACCAGACATTTTTTAAGAAAAAGAATAATCTCTTATATACTTTCATGAACCAGTATAAAAATCTCTGAATGTAAAATTCTCCAATTTTATCTCTGATGGCTAGTACAGAAACTAAAGACAATTATGTATGACAATTTTGCACAGCTTTTATTTGATCAGACATCTTGAATAACTTTAAGTCTACAGCATTTAACCCTTTCCAGTGGTTTTCAAAGTTGTTTGAGCACAGACTCAACATTAAGCTGTTAATGCCTGCTAAAGCCATAATCTTGTTCATCTCATTATTTCCTATTCAAGAATGTATTTTCTGTATATGTTCATCAATATCTTCCTTATCAAAAGCATTGTAAAACTTGTTCTATTCAACAGAGGTACTAAGACTTCATCACATGATCTCAAAGAAGCCAATATAACTGTCCTATTCTTTGGCAGATATTATTTGAATGATTTCTCTTCAAACTTATAAGTTATAAGGACTTCACATTCTTATACTTTCAGCCAAATGGATTAGTAGATTTTGTTTTAGATATAAAAACACATTCTCTGAAGGTGTGAGCTGTTAGTTCTACGGCTGTTACCATCATGATAGCAACACTGGCTTCCAAGACTGCTGAATTGGAGAATTCATTGATGGTAGGGGCACATTTGTTTCGGTAAGGTTAGTGCATATATTACACTGCAAAAGAATAACAACTACTCTTGTTTTATTACCAATATTCTCATAAAAATGATGTGAAAGGTACTAAACTTTCATTATTCCTCTACCTTAGACTGGGTAGAAAATCATAATGATTGTTCAGTAAGGCTTATTTACTTTGCTCTGTTTCTTTATCATGCCCCTCTTGAAGTATGATTATGCTCATTTTAAAGGGTGCTACAAGGACTTGTAAAAGTATAATATGGGGGTTAATCTCTCTTGAATGTACAGTGGTAGTGATGTATGGAATAGGTAACCTAGAATGGTGGATATTACATGTTATAACTCAACAGTACATCATATCATTATTCTCATTTTTATCCAATTCTTGTGTAGACGTACTTCCTCCAGTTCCAGAAGCCAAATGTTAGTCACTAAAAATTTTGAAGCAAGCCAGTTTAAATGAAATCCAAATGTTGTTTGTGAATAAAGATTTTGTATTTATATTCATTCACTTGTGTTTGCATCTCTTCCTTTGCTGTTTGTGTCTAATTTATTCTCAACTTAATATATTCTATAATCTGCTGTGTACTGCGGATACTTATAATTTCTCTCGGAAATCATTGTACATAAATACCACAGATCTAGTGATCTTTTCAGTAGGAAATCCAGGTTAGAATGAGAGAATTGTATTTCAGATCCTCAGTCATTCATATTTTAAAACATGAAGTTGAAATATTAACTATAGCAGGATTGAATGCTACCATTTAAAGTATAGTTATTCAAATAAAAGCACTTGAAAACAAACTTACTTTGACAGGTTCGAGAATCGAAATTTAAAGTATAACCATTTGGACAAAAGCATTTAAAACTTCCAAATGTATTTTCACAGAAGAATTGGCATTTTTCTGAGAAACCAAGAGTGTAACATTCATCTATATCTAGAAACAATAAAATACAAACAAGAACAAAATAATTAGTCACTAGGAAAAAAGATTCATTGGACAAAAGTATTTCACACACAGTCATTACATAATCATATTTTCAGATTGATACTGGTTTCATATACTATGTTGTGTTACATATATATAACTTCATCCTAAACTGTTGTACAAGAAGATCATATTAAACAATGGACAGTTCAAAAATCTCTTTATAACAATCAAAAGATTACTCTCATGTGAGAACAATTAATTAACTGAATATAAACAATTAACGAACCCTATGATCAATTAATTAGAAATTATACTAATTTCCCAACTCTATTGAAAACATAAAGCAAGAAAGCATTACAAAATCTAAAAACCTACCATGGTCACATGCATATCCTGTTAGTCCTGCAGGGCAAACACATTCATTATCTATACACTGTGCTCCTTTTGAACAATGGCCTTTACAACAGTTTTGACCTACTAAAGATGTACAGATGAAATTTATAAAATTGAATGGTTAAACCATATGCTATAACAACCATTGTAACTTAATGCTAAGCCCTAATGAACAGCTGCAACAAACATCACAGTAGTTTAGTGTATGGAAATGTTAAATATTATTTGAATTTTACAAAATCTTAATTATAATACAAGCAGTAAAACTCACTGATCTATTAAATTTATACACATGTATACACATAATATAGAAAGTTAATTATTAACCCTTTTGAAAAAGGTAAATGAAATTGAGCTCGTTACAGCCTTTTACAGAGTTACACTCAAAATTTAATTAAAGTACTTTATTATCAATGTAGATCAGAGAGGGGTAAAGTACTGAAAATATTTACTTGAGTAAAAGTATTTACTTTAGAAAATATTCACTCAAATAAAAAGTAAAAGTACCTGTTGTTGATGGCTACTTAAGTAAAAGTAAAAAGTACTAAATTTTTGCAGTACTTAAGTAGTAATAAAGTGAAAAGTATTGACAAAAAATAAGTAATGATAGCATTATTAAAAATAGCCTACATTCAATTTAAATTCACAAATAAAAGGCACTAACACATATAAACTCAACAAACTGTATTTTATTTTTATTAAACAATCAGCATTACAGTCTATAGTACAGCTCTTCACACTTTCACTTATTATTTTGCTTCAGCAGTAGCTGATTGTTAAAGTTCCTACTAGATAGATTAGCTTGTCTCCGTGTGAACAAGAGCCCTGCAGAACTAAACAAATGCTCGCATGCTGCAACTTCACTGAATTTCCCACTATTGTTTTCAGTGAAAATAAGTCTTTCAAATAAGGCCATGAATGATTATTTGTATCAGACATGATGGTTACAGTAGGACGAAGTTATCACAGTCAACAGTTGATGTAAAATGGCTACATTTTGTTCCTGCTCAGCAGCACAGAAAATGCAAGAGTAGGCATGGTCTGATTGATGTAAACAAAAACTATCACAATGGCAACCAGTGTGATTTTCTCCAATTTTTTCAAATGTAATGACAGTCTTATAAAAGAAATGTAGTGGAGTAAAAGTAGATAATTTCTTCTTGATTTTAATTAAGTAAAAGAAAAAAAGTAAAATATTTTTTAGAGTACTTAAGTAACAGTAAATCCCAGAAAAGTTAATTAAGTAGTGTAACAAAGTAATGCTACTTCGTTACTCCCCAACTCTGATGAAGATGAATAAACTTGACATGAAAATGGGTTTAATAAATCAAATTTTAATATTATACAAGTTTCAAGTTCTTAATTTTATAAGGAAATGTGTAAAAAAATCCTCAATCTCCCCTTGTATGAGAATCATGACATTTGCTCTCTAGGTCTTTCCTTTTCCCTAATTTATTTATCACCCCTCTGAGATGTACAGTTTCATGTAAATTACTCATTATAATATAGATATTACAAAGCAAAGCATAATTTTTATAGCCTTCAATCTTATTTGTTTAAATCATACCCACTTGCCACACCCATCCAATAATTCTCTCTGACATTTTATACTATATTATTTATAACCGATAGAAAGTTAAATTTGAATCTATCAAATGATGTATTAAATTATGTTGTACAGGGCATTGTTTGTTTCATCGTTTAGATTCAAATATTTTTTAATGGGACAAATGTATCTGAATTTTTAAAGGCTCTTATCCCATAGTTAGAAAGCTAGAAAAATTATGATAATTATAGGATATTGTTTGCCTTTTATGTGTTATTATTCTGTGTTCGTAGGTACATTACTTGATTAAATAAAAAATTATTTAGTACAGTAGTACCATTAGTATAAAAAAGTAGGCTTAAGTTTCATCAACAGTTCAGAGCAAACAACAAACCTAGGTAAGTCCTACATATTTTAGGTAAGGTGATGAAAACAAAAAGAAAAACAAATATTCTTCATGAGATATGCTTATGAGTAGCTCATGCATTATGTAATTTGATACAGTAACATGAGCTGCATGTTCGCCAAGTGCTTTACAACTTGTGTGGTGGGGATTATTAGTTAGAAACGGTTCAAAGGACAATGAAATTAGGTATAAACAGATGTATACCCTTACGAGCTTTAAGCTATTTAGGACAAACAATTGTAGTTTCATGTTACAATTTGCAGTCATTCTAGAAATAAAAAAAAAAGGTAATTTAGACTTATTTCAGATTTTTTTATCATGGTTATGATGTCGGTCAAATTGACTAATAGGTATAGAGTTAGGGTAAAGAAAATAACAGATAAAATATAAAATTGTACTGAAAAAAAAAGTTTCTTTAGGAGATTTTAGAGATTACCATATGACATTTCATAGTTTTCAGATAAAGAAAAGTATCATTAATCTTAACATGAAAATTACTTTGCACTCAAAGCAGTCAACACTCTGACTTCGTATATTCATGGACAATGTTTTAGTAAAAATACTTAATTAAAACACCAAAAGACTAGTAATGTTTACTAAGACCTTGCCAAATTTCACAAAGATACTTTAAGTACTTTCAGAGTTGTAGTATGTATAACTTCATAGTGGTTACAAGGTTATGTGAAATACAGGAATCCAATGGGAAAGGGTTAACAAAAGTACAGTATAAACACAAGGAAAATAAATATAATATTATGTTTACACTATCACCCGAATATAAAATACAACAATAATCATCCTAACTACTGTTCTTAGACTTAAAGGAAGTACCAAACTGGTTATATATGTCATGGAAATCATTCTTATGATAACTCATTGCATTAGTTTTTAGCTTTCCCTTAACATTATTGTTAGTTTTATATAACTGCAATAGCTAAAAGTTACATTAAAATATGGAACATCCTCTAGTTCAACTTAGGCTTTTGTAAACCAGCAACCTTGCCATAAGTATCTGTGCTTAGAATTAATAAATACTTTGTTAAACATCAAAGAATCCAGATTTTTCAAAAAACTGACAAAGAGCATGAAAAACATTTTTTACTTTAGATTTAACTTCTTTATAATGATAATATATATATTATAACAATAGTACATTATGAGTAAATATTTTCTTATACACGGTCATTGGTAGTTTCTATCACAGTCTTAAAGCTAAGTACCAAGAACATACAAGATATTTTTATGGAATTTCTTTGAAATTTTATTAGTTGTAGCTTCAGTAAAAGGAATAGATAATTAATGTTAATTAATTTCAATTACAAGAATTTTACTGTACACAGCTAATGGAGAAATAAGTGAAAATATTTCCACAGGCATGTAAAAACAAAATTGGCCATATTATGAAAGGGAAAAACCTAAAAGATAAAACTATATATTACAAAATATTTTACATAAAAAGTACAAACTGTTTAATATTTCTACTTTCTGTGTCATTAAAGATGTAACCATAATATAATGTTTTAACAAAGCATACGTTTTTTTGTTTGCTCTATATTAACATCAACAAATGAGTTTCTCACTACCCTAGGTAGAACTTAGATTTTCAAATGAATTTTTTGAGAAAGCAAATAAATTGAAAAAAATGCCACTGACTAAAAATGTATGAAATATATAATTTTACAATTAATGAAATATATAAATCTAAACACATCTTACCTGAACCCTTATGAAAGCAATCTGTATCACTATGTTCTTCTGAATATGAACAAAAATAGCTACCAATGGTATTAATGCAATCATCATCATCACAATGGTTTCTGAAGTCACTTGCACATTCATCAATATCTTTCATACAAGCAAAGGAAAAAGTAAACTGAGGCAAAAACAAATGTGGCCAAACATGTTAATTCATCATATATACAAATTCAAAAAATACTTAATATATAAAAACACATATTCACCCAAGAACACACAGTCGTTTTGGACACTTCAGGATATATGTTTAATGCCTAACATATCTAAAACTTTTAACAGCTCTGACCTTTGTATCTGTATTCTTAACATTAGACAGTAAACTACAAAACAGATAGAGCTTTTCAGTTCTTTTGTTCACAATAGTTTTTCTGTTAAAATAAACACTTAATTTGATAAAATACCTTATACTTTTAATTTAAATTATGATTAAAATGTCAAACACTTAAGAATAAACATATGTAAAAATGTATCCATCTAAATATGTAGTATGCTGCTCTTTACCATAAATACGCAGCTAAAAATTTTCTCCAGCTAAACATTATATAAATACATCCAAGTATAATTTATAATAATTAATAATTTTTCTCAAAAAACTGGACTGAAATATGCTTTAAATAAACCTTTGATACAACAACTTTATAAACAGATTTTTATAAACATATATTTAACCAGATAAACAGTTTCATGTTATTTATTACATATAAATTTATTGTGAAATTATACAACAGGTAAAAAGACACATCTATAAATACAAGTCATAATCAACTCTTAAAAATTTAACCCTAAAATCATGAGTCAATCATACAGAAATTTCCATGTTTTGGTGGCAACTTTTAGCAAGAGAAAACCCATTAGATAAACTTTTCATACAAAATTTTGCTTAAGTTTGGGGTTCAATCCCTTTCTTCTAAAAAGCAATGAAATGTATAAACTTATAAAATGGTTTAGTGTAGAGGAAAGTCTTCCCAAACTAAGGCTACTTTTGCTCAGACCAATTCCATTTTGACCTTAATTTTCACTGTCAGAATGGTTTCAACATGTTCATGACATCTAGAAGACTCTGCACATTAAGTAGAAAGAATAATAAATGTTATTCAGGTACTTCTTATGACTTTGATGGTTCAGGTCTGATCAATGATATCTATGCCTGTCAATCAATGAATAATCCAATTCAATGAAAGTTGTTACAAAGAGAAACAAAAAAGCATCATATTTTTACAATTTGCTTGTTTTCTTTTGATTGGATTCTAACATTTTTGAATGACCTCTCATTCTGGTCAAGTTAACTATACAGGAACCCAATCATGGTTGCATTCACAAAATTTGCATTTCATGCAAACATCATACCTTACAACCTTGCACTTGCAACTAAGGCTATGGTTAACATGAAGTATAAAAATTCTCCCAGTGTATAATGATCAGTTTAGCATCTTGTATAGCATAAATTACTTTGCTAAAGGCAATGGACTTTCATCAAAACTTTGACACAAACAGAGAGGATAATTAATTTTAATATAAAAATTTCTCTGAAATAGGTGAACAATGAACACAAAAGTTTTTGTTTGAAAGACATTCTAATGATTTCTACCCTTTGCCAAATACTGTGATGACCAAAACAGCCAATAATTTCTGGATGATTGACTCTTGATTTTAAGGTTACATTAAAAATTACACTAATGTACTGTTGTACTGGAGACATTTGAATGTGAATATAAAATCAAAGAATAATAAATGAGCAAAATCTCTCTGTTTAGGGGAATATCCACATATTCAAAAGTCAAATTTTCAATGATAATTCTTACCAAGACAACTGTGGCCATTAGCATGTAGTTGATATCCTTGTTGACAAGAGCATCGATAACTGCCTGGAAAGTTGTAGCAAATCTGGTGACAGGGGTGAAGTACTTCACATTCATTAACATCTATAGCAAGGTGAAATGTAGTTGCTCTTTAAGATTCATAGCCTATAATACAGCAAACTTTATTCAATGAAACAAGCGTATGTATACCATATATAGATATAAAATGTACACATACTGTCTTAAGCTGAAGTTGTCACAAAAACTCCAGACGTAACCAGACATTGAGATTCTTTGTGTATATATATATATATATATATATATGTACACACACAAACATTTTCACACAGTAAATTAAATGATTTGACAATTTATGAGATGCATCTGGCATAAATAAGTAAAATGTATACTGTTTATGATCTGAGCTTTAAATAAAAAACAGACAAGAATAAAAATATGTAGATTTGTAGTTATGTTTTTTGCATACATCACTAAGTTTTAAATATGCGACTATAGAGATACTCTACACTCATATAAAAAACTACTTTGATAAAATGTTAAAAGTGTTTCAGATCACCAATACTTACATGAAAATTTCTAGCTGTGCAATTTTTGTGTAAATTGTGATTCTATAAAAAACAAAAATTCTTAAATATTTTTTGTTGACAATGAGCTAAAAATAATAGTTTTCAGTGCTTATTAAATACTAAGCATTTGTATAAAAGGAAAAAAAACTAATTCTTACCAACACAGGATTTTCTATCAACATCCAAATAGAACCCACGATAACATGCACAACCTGCAGGTACTGATCTATAACCTTCTAAGCACTGCTGATTACACTTCAGTTCCTGACACTTGAAGGACAACATGCTGATACTAGATGATAAATAATGGCTGCCTTCATTTTCTGGAAAACAACAGGAAAAGTTAACATTATCCTACTATTAAAATTAATTTCTGACAGATACTCACCTCTTCACACAGAATAATTATATCCCTCATGCTATTCTGTGTGAAGAGGTGAGGTATCATCTAAGAAATCATAATATATATGTATCTTATAATCCAATAAAACATACTGAAACATGATAAACAGTAAAAGAGCATTATCAACAAATTTTAGATTAAATATATATATATATATATATACAGCACACATCTAGCACATAAAAATATGCTATCAAAGCATAACCAAGTACAGAAATGAAAGAAATTTAATAAAAGTAATGACATGGAATAGACTATCCCTATAATTAATCATATTAGTGTACTTTCAGTGAAAACAGTTTTGAGATTAGGAAATCAAGCATAAGAAGGGAAATAAAAATTGCAAAAATTTGCTTCTGAAAGAGCTGGGAAGTATCCACGTAGATACTTGAAACAGTTGCCATCTTTGTCTAAGGCCTTTACAAACTGCTTCATCAAGCCCAGTTTGATGTGAAGTGGAGGTAATAGGACTTTCTTTGTGTTAACCAAACTTTCAGGTTCAATGTTTTTTGATCCTGGTATCAGGCTTACTCTGCATGGCAAACTTTGTGAGGAGTCCATGATTTGTCTTGGTCCCCAAGTTTTATTCCAAAATACACGTAATACACATTTTTGACAAATTCTGTAATGTTTTGCCTTTGTTTTTTTACAACAAATTTACCACAAATATAACAGAATATGTTTTGGTCACTTACGCAACCTCTTGTTGCCATAGCAATGAATAAATAATACTGAAAAGAAAAAAATAATGTCAAAGTGCACCCACAAACAAATACTATCCATAAATGATATGTCATGTGGCCTGTTAACCTTTTATATACTAGCAGTGTGTTTCTCGTGGGTTCTAGAATGATCGATAAGACTCACATCGCAATTGGTCTAGAGAAATCTATAGCCAGTGGTTGTCAACATTTTAAGCACAACAAAATGTGACCCGATTTCAATGAAAATGATTCACTTATGTAAAAGTACATACGACGTTTTGTGAAAAATCTGTACATGATGAGAAAAATGGATATCATTTTCGAATTCAGCATACAGAAATTACTGCAGAACATGTAAAAATTTCAAAACAATAAAACCATTGCAGGCCTGTCTAATAGGACTCTGATGCCATTAGATGTCCAGGCAACACATGTGCTACACTGAAAGGTTACTTTTCTTTTCAAGAGAGGTGATAAAATTGTTCCATTTATTATAGCCTTACTAGTCTTACATTAGTCGTTAGAAAAGTATTTGAAAGTCTAATATAAGATGTTTGGGAAAGTTACTTAACAAAGTTTAACATTTTGTTGGATAGTCAACATGGTTTTGACAGGGAAAAATCTTGCCTTATTAATCTTTTGACATTCTTTGAAGAAGTTATTGCTTATGTAGATGAGAGAAAGGATGTGGATTTAGGGCATCTGGATTTTAAGAAAGTGTATGATAAGGTGTCACACAAAATGCTTCTTACAAAGGTTATCTCTATAGGTGGAGGAGATAAATTAGCTCATTGGGCAAGAAAGAAAGAAAGTAGAGAATGGTTATAAATGGAGGTTGGTCAAGTTAGATTAATTACATAAATGAGGTACTTTAGGGCTCAGTGTTAGGACCTTTGCTATTTTTTAGTTTACATTAATGACACAGTTAAAAGAATGGTCAGTAAGTTACTTACATGTGCTGATGATATTAAGGTTTTGGGTGTTGCTGGGTGTCAAGAAAATATTACTGCTTTATAGAAGGATTTGGATTACTTGATGAGTTGGGAAAATAAATAACAGATGGCTTTTAATTATAATAAATGAAAGGTAATATATGTGGGATATCATAATTTGAATTAAATATATAACTTCAATGAGAATAACCTTAACAGTAACATGAAAAAAAAGGATTTTGGTGTTTCAGTTGAGCAGCCTCTTAAACCGTCTAAGCAGTGTGCTGTTGCTATTGGGAGGGAAAATATAATTTTATGTTGTATCTATAGAAATACTTAAAGGAAATACCTTGTTATGCAAAAAATAAAACTTGTTTATTGATAGATGTACAGAGTATAATATCTATGGGTACATCAACAGTATCTACAGAAATATTGAATACAAGTGTAAAGAGGTTATAATGTCATTGTGTGGTTCACTGGTTAAGCCACATTTGGAGACTGTGTTCATTCTTGGACTCATTACCTTAGGAAAGACATTGTTGGAAAGGGTTTAAAGGAAGACTATTAGGATGATACCTAGGATGGAAAGGTTAGGATCTCTGAGATTGTTTTTTCTGGATAAAAGAAGAGTTAGAGGGGATTTGTTGAGGTGTTTAAGAATGATAAGAGAATTGATACTGTTGATGTATCATCTTTTTTTCATTCTTAATGGTGAGAATGGTAGGACTAGGGAAATAAATTTTGGCAGGGTAAGTGTCATCTTCAGCTAAGACTGTTTTACTTTTCTCACATTCCTTTGGAATGGGTTACCTTCAATGTGGTTGATGTAGTAAACTTAAAGAGGTTTAAGGGAAAGTTTGATAAATATTTGAATGATTGTTTTATTTTAGTTTAGTGGATGAACTGGCCAAGATGGACCAAGAAGTACCTCGTTGACCTTAAATTTTATGCTTATGCTTAATGTTCTCAATTCTGATTTTTCTTATAAATAGCTGTGATTCTTAAAAACTGACTATCTTGTTTTGACCAGTGAATTAGCCTTAAAGCTAAGTACTCCAAAGAATCCAAAAAGATGGCAGGCTTTTTGTTTGACCATATAGACTTATGTAAAGACATTACTAAAGATAATGGAAGAGGTCCCTGTACAGCCAAGATAAATCATTACTAAAGGCTCACTCCAAATTGAACAGCCTAAGCCCTTACTTTAAACCTGTTTCAGTCATTTGATGTTGTATAAACAATCTTGTTTCTGTTGGATCAAATGATATTTTATTTTGTACATTATTTCCATAGGGTGTATCAAGTGGCACAGACAAGGTGGGTACATGCTGGTCAACCAGCAGTGCCTCACCTCCATGGACTTGTCCATCACACAACCTGTCATTCAGAAAAAATTATAGTAGTTAAATCGCTGTCATGAAATATCAGGCATAATTAAATACCTAAATATTTCAATATAATTAATGAGAATATATATAATAAATTTTTTTAACAGCTGATTATTTAATGAATTTAAACAAAGAATTTTAGATATCTGTATTTTCTAAATGGCAAAACAGACATAACAAATTAGCAACTTCACTGAAGTTTGGACTTTGTAGCCTAGGCTAAATCCCTAAGATGCCAACAGAATGTTTCAGACTTTAAGATGACTCACATTATTAATTGAAGGAGATTTCCTTTCTGAGTAATGTGACATAGACATGTTACATAACTGAATAATCTTAAATTATTTATCTTAAAGTATATTTGTGTGATTTTTGGTAGATTTGAATAAGTTTCTACTTTCTATTTCAAGTCATGGCAAAAACAACACGTTTCAATGTACGTTGTACACTCTGTGGAGAAATATTACAAAATGATTATGCTTCAAAAAACACTAAATCAAAGCACACTGATCTAAATGCTGTTAGATGCACTGCCCCAGTAGCAATCATTCTGAATGAACTGTCTGGAACTGTCTGTTTCTTACTGGTGCTGCAAATTCACCAATGTCATGATAAAGAAAACATGAAGAGGAGGATGAGACAAGAAATATAGGTGACAATATAAGAAAAATGGAAGATAATAATGCAGGTAAGGTTAATTATATATACTATATTCTGCAACTATTTCTACCCATGAAAAACAATACAAAAGTCTAATTTTAAGTCTTTAAGATCACCTTGATAGGCCCATAACTCTGTTGTGACAATCATTTACTTACAGAACCTGGTAACCCACATCCACCAGAGGCAACATTTGAAGATGAAGATAAACACAATGAAAACATCCTTAATGATGATGTAAAAACATACCGAGACTAATGAGAATGATTATGAAGATAATATTGATCCTGTTGGTCTAAAAGATATTGTAAGAATGTAATGTATTCATTTATCTTTCATTTTGTAAAAACAGTATGGCTTTATAGTATTTTGGAGGCCTTTAGTAATAACTGAGAAAAAGTGTTAAGTATTTTATTTTTTATTGTTTACGTTTCACAATAACCTAAAATGTTATATATTTGTCATGACTATTTCTTCTGGTGACTTAAGGAAATAATACTCAGATACCATTGCCCTAACAATTTATAAAAATTTAAAATCCACAATACTCTCTGAATTTTTTTCATTATGTATCTAATATAAGAGAAAAATGTTTTGCTTTATGGGGAACTATAGAATAAGTTCAAAGAAGCAGAAATTGCAGTATCTGCTAATTAACAAAAAGTTGAGTTTGCCCTGTTTGTTAAGTTTTTTTGATACTATGCTCAAAGAAAATAAAACAAACAAGAAAAACTCAAACTTTTGTTAATTAGAAGTATGAAGCAATTTTGAAAATTAATAAAACTTTGAGTTTCCCCATGCTGTTAAGCTTCAATTTTTTTTTCTTTCAAGAAAGCACCTGGGTCATCAAAATGAAAGTGGATTTATAGAAAAGTCATCTACATTAAAAGAAGCAGTTAGCCCAGGTGATATATCATTCACTAATGATGCTCTTCTAGTACAGCCATGTAACATCCAATTCCCTGTGCATATGATCAGTAAGCAGTGCAGGGCTTTCAATCCATTACTTTTTGAGAGATATTAGTGATTGGAATACTCACAATCAGATGTCATTTACTGTTTTCATTGCTGCTATTTTTCAAGCGAAATAACTCAAACAAGAGAACCTACTTTTATTAGCATTGGTTTGCATAACTGGAAGAAATGTTATGGGACAAATTCAAATGACAACAAATTGTTGCAGCATCAACAAAGCTCATTACATACAGAATGTGTTGATCCCTACTCCCACAA